GTATGGAATAGGTGCAGAGTAAATGTTTGATGATGATGAAAGACATGTATAAGGAAGATTAATTTGGTAACAGCATAGAAAGTCAACAGGTAGGAAAATCATGAGGAAGTTGTTCCAGAAATATAGGCGTGAAGGAAGGAATGTGGAAGAGACAGATATGAGAAAATACTTAGGAAGCAGAGTTCAAAGGAACTGAGCCAATTTGAATGTGGAGTGGGTTGAAAATTAATTTAAGTCTTCAAATCTAAGTGTTTTGAAGGGCCATGATGCCACTCAGGTAAGATGGAATAATTGGCAGAGGGAATTGGTTTGGGGGAATAAGGTGAAGAATTTAGTTTCAGACAGGCATCCAAGATGATGACAGGACATTCATTTAGAAATGGCCTAGGAATTTGGCTAGATGAGAATGAAGTGACTATGTAGAAACAGGGCTGAAGTTTTGTTATAATTTTATTCACTTCAGCAGGTATTTATAGAATCACTACTATGTGCTAAGAGCTATGGGATATAGAGTTAAATGAGGCAGAGATTTTGAGGAATTAACGTAATGGGGGAAAACAGATGTGCGAAAGGGAATATAAAGTCTAATGAAGATAAGTGTCCAGAGGAGATTATATACTAAGAAAGTGAATTAAATGGCACTTATTAGTGACACAAATTTCCCACTAGAGAAAACTGGAGAGTCCATGAAAGCACCCGTAGGTAGCTCCTTCTGCTTAATCTTTCCTGCTCTGTGTCCTGCTACTCTGGCCAGACTGTCTGGACTCAGGATTGGCCCCCAAGTGAAGGCAATCATTTCAAAGTCAGGCATGAAGAAGACCCACCACCAGTCAGGTGGCCCATCAGGAAAATTGTGACCCCTAAAAGCCCTTCTTATTGAATAGTGAATGACAGATACATTTCGATCCTCTTGCTTGGGATGTTTTAAATGTAAGTCACAGAGAGTAGTCACTCGAAGCAGAGATAGCAGTAGAAGTTGGGACTGTATATGAGAAAGAAGCAGAGAGATGCTGATTCAGGAGAATGGCAAAATTACTAGAGCATGGGCAATAGACGGTTGTCAGTGAGGGGATGAGCAAGGCACCGGAGCCTGTTGCAGGATCCTAAGAACTGCAGTTGATTTCTGGAGTCGACAGTAGTTCTGGCCAATGATATGTTTTTCTAAGGTTTCCTTCTTTCCTTAAAATAAACCCTCAGCATTCATAGTGCTCTGAACATGTCCTGGCACTTTATAGCTCATAAGAACCCAGCTAGCACAAAGGAATTTCTATTGTTTGGGCTTTCATTATATCTGCAGAAGAGGGTATCTTGTGAAGGATAGGTCAGTGTGATCTTCATAAAGCACGATCAAGGGACGCCTGGGTGGCTCAGTCGGTTAAGTGTCTGCCTTCAGCTCAGGTCATGATCCCAGGGTCCTGGGATCGAGTCCTGCATTGGGCTCCTTGCTCAGCGGGGAGTCTGCTTCTCCCTCTGTCTGCTGCTCCCCCTGCTTGTGCTCTCTCTCTCTGACAAATAAAATCTTAAAAAAAAAAAAAAGCATGATCAAAAGGATGTTGCCAAGGACACGTGTGTATGTGGCTGCCTTCCCCGAAGAGTGTAAGAGTAGAGGGTAAAATCCTCAATTACATCTCAAAGCAAGCCTCAAATCCCCAAGTTTATGCTTTTTGCTATTCCCTCTCTCTTTTCCCATTGTGATCATAGTAGAAGTCTGTGGGCTTGTCCTTGGGGAAAGCAGAGAAAAGGAGAGCCATGGAGACTATTCAGTGCAGGCACCAAGCTTAAGGAAGAAAACCCCAGAAGACAGTAGACAGTGTGGCTGCCAAGAGCCATGTGAGTGTCAAGATCGGAGTTTCTCAGTGTACAGACTGCTCACCACCAGTTTAGGATTACCTGATTTGTTTAAAAAATGAAGATTTCTAGATCACCTTGCCCCAGTTGAATGGAATCTCTGGGTAAGCGGCCTAGGAACTTGCATTTTCTTAAGTATGCAAGGTGCTTCCCTTTGAGACCCACTGCTGTGAGCCCTGTGTCAAGGAGAGAAAGAGAATTCTGGCATCTGAGCAAGCACTCAAGACTGAAGGGTGGAAAAGTTTGGCACAGCATGGGCATACATTGCTGTAGGAGTGAAAAGGAAAGAGAGAAGGTGTATGAGGTAAAGCTGGAGGATAGGGTGCACAGAACAGAGTGGGATGCAGGTTTGCTCTGGAAATCATGAACCTAGATGATAATTGAGACCATGGAGATGGATTAGGTTTCTGCTAATGCCAGAATTTTCACAATCAGCATAAAAGTGCTATATAAAGCTCTCTCCTCTTTATTATAGTCCTTGCAAGATTTATGGGGCACCAACTACAGGGAGAACATTGTATTAGCAGCTGTCAAGGAAAACAAGAGTGTATCATGTACTTCAAGCTGGACAAAATAAATCTGTAGTTTATACTTAAGAGCGACTACAAAGCAACATCCAAGTAAGTGCAAATTCATTCATTTAACAAAAACTCATTGTGTCCATTATGTGCAGACACTTTCCTTGACTCCACAGGGTGTGGTTCATCAGAAGGTGACCTGGGTGAGTTTAAAGGCATTTTTTGGAAAGAAAGTGAAAACAGATTACAGAGAGTTTAAGGCACTCTAAGTAAGGATTTAGAGTCACAGAGTTCAGAGGGAGGGTACATAACTTCATTCATTCAATATTCCATAAATATTTATTAAGTGCCTATTGTGTTGTAGACACTGGAAATACAGCAGTAAGTAATAGACAAAAATCCCTGCCCTCCTGGAGCTTAATATTCTGATGGGAGAAAGACAAGAAAGCATAATAAATAAGTTATATAGCATATTAGAAAACGGTGTTTTGGAAAAAAGAAAGCAGGAAGAGAGACAGGATTTGGAGGGGAGGGAGAGATGCAATATCAAAGACGATCTTTTGGGAAAAACTCATTGGAAGGAGACGTTTATAATTCTCCTATAAGGGGACACCTGCGTGGCTCAGTCATTGAGCGGCTGCCTTCGGCTCAGGTCATGATCCCGGGGTCCTGGGATAGAGCCCAGCATCGAGCCCCGCATCGGGCTCCCTGCTCAGCGGGGACCCTGCTTCTCCTTCTCCCTCTGCCTGCCTTTCCCCCTGCTTGTGCTGTATCTCTGTCAAAAAATTTAAAAAAAAAAGTCTCCTATAAGATCTGTGTCAGGAAGATCTGTGGCTGTGTAGTGGACATGTGTTCTGTTAGAGGCAGCAAGTGCAAATTCCTCCACAAGAAGCCTGCCTGGCATTTTCAAGGAACAGCCAGGAACCAGTGTGTGTGCGTGTGTGTGTGGAAGTGAGGAAAGGTAATAGGATAGAGTTCAGAGAGGAAAGGGGTGAGGGGTGTCACATAATCTAAGGCCATAAGACTTGGGAGATTTTTGCTTTTCTGTTAGGTGGGATGGAAGCCACAGCAGGATGGGAGACTCGAGCTGGGAGCAGAGGAGTGAACATGATCTGACACGGATACTTCATTCCGGGGTGGCGGGGTGGGGGGGTAACTTGGGCCCAATTTTTAACCTCTCTAAATTTGTTTCCTCATCTGTAAAATAGTGAAAGGTATTCGTCCTCATAAGGTTGTTGTGAGGATTAAATAAGATATGTACAAAACACTGAGCAGCTACTTGACACAGAGTAGGCACATCCTTTCCCCTTCCCTGTCTTCCACCTCCTCTCTTCTCTCTTCCACCTAGTACCAGGTGCTAGGAGAGAAAGACCAGAATAAGCCTTGCAGTTGACAGCCCACCTAAGGGGTAGGAAGAAAAGGGTGACAGTTGGTTTAAGGCCTATGTTAAGTGACGTAATAGTTTAAAATAATCATTTTATTGTGTTTTAGGATGTGGACTAGAGAGACGACGGAACTGGAAGTTGAGACTCAGATAGGTGAGACTCAGATGCAGACGCCCGTCTGCCAGGCCTCAATCTTGAAAACTCACCCAAACAATTTACCTCTCTAGGTAGTTTATCAGACTCTGGGTTATGCTAGCAGTTTTAATTGTTCTGTTGTTAAACGTGTTAACTCCCTGAACGTTAACTGATGCATCTCGGTCTTCTAATTAATGTTTGAGTGATTCTCCTCAGGTCTAAACTATCAAGGGCACTTAAACACAGTTTGCCTCCTGTTTGTGCCCTCATGGGCAATAGGCACATTTGAGGTCGCTGTTTACAATGACCTGTAATGACTTCAAAACATTCATAAAAACAACAACAATAAACAACAGACCTCCTCTCCGTTAAGATTAATGATGAAAGCCTATGTCATGTCTGTCTGGGCTTGGGGCTAGGTTCCCAGCCCCCAGTGTTGAGGCTGGTAATCACCAAGCCATAGTCAGAAAGCCCCTGGGTGGGGAACTGTCTGCCTCCTGTCTCCCTAAGTCATCGAAGTCGCCTCCCACATTTGGTCACTGCATTGTTTATTTACTTGCAGTAAATAACAGTTAATGAACGACCCCGAGCGGCGGCGGATTTCCCGCGGCTTCTCGCAGGAGACCCGAAAGGGTGCGGCACGGTCGCTCACGGAGCCCCTGGCGTGCGTGTAGCCCACCACCCGCCGGCCCGGGTGCGAGTCTGCGGCTGCGAGCTGGGCTCTGCGGCGAGAGTCCGGAGGCGGGCCGCCGCGTGGGTCCAGCGGTCCCTCCTCCCCGCCCCGCCGAGGTACCGCCCAGAACCCCCTGCTCGGCCGGCCCGGCTCCCCCACCCTTCGCCGCCCGCCACCCCCTTCCCCTGCCGGCCCGGCCCCCGCTCCTCCTCCGCTGGCCGGGCCCGGCCCCCTCCTTCTCCCCGGCGGCGCTCGCAAAGCTTCCCTCTCTTCCCTCTTCCCACACCGCCCTCAGCCTCTCCCTCCCTGCACGCGGGTCTGGAGAGGAATCGAGCGCCGCGCGCATCGATAGCTCTGCCCTCTGCGGCCGCCCGGCCCCGAACTCATCGGTGTGCTCGGAGCTCGATTTCCCTAGGCGGCGGCCGCGGCGGCGGAGGCACAGCGGCGGCGGCGGCGGTGGCGGCGGCGGCGGCGGTGGCGGCTGCCCGGCCAGTACTCCCGGCCCCCGCCATTTCGGACTGGGAGCGAGCGCGGCGCAGGCACTGAAGGCGGCGGCGGGGGCCAGAGGCTCGGCGGCTCCCAGGTGCGGGAGAGAGGTACGGAGCGGACCACCCTTCCTGGGCCCCTGCCCTGGTCCCGACCCTCCTCGCCGGCGCCGGGTGGGGCCGGCGGCGAGTGAATGAATTAGGGGTCCCTGGAGGGGCGGGGAGGGGGCGCGGGCGCTGAGCCCCAGCGGGCGAGCGGACCGGGTGGGGGTGTCTGCAGGGGGAGGCGCGGGGACGCGGCGACGCGGGGAATGAGGAATGGGCGGTGCGGGGCTGAGGAGGGTGAGGCTAGAGGCGGCCGCCTCTTGTGCTGCTTCCTGGACGGGGAACCCCTTCCTTCCTCCTCCCCGAGAGCCTCGGCTGGAGGCGGCCGGGGAGAAACTCGCGGGCTGGGCGGGCTGCCCCTCGGGGCGGTCGGGTGCGGTGGAGGTTACTCCCGATGCGCTCCGATCTCCCCTCCCCCTCGTCGTCCTTCTCTCTCTCTCTCATTCTCTCTCTCTCTCTCTCTCTCTCTCTCTCTCTCTCTCTCTCTCTCTCTCTCCCCCCCCCTCCCTCTCCCCCTTCGCTCCCACACCTCTTCCTCCCTTCCCAGCCCTCTGCTGCCTCGGTTACTGCCTTCTCTGCTGCATCTAGCATCTCTAGGACGAAGGTATAAACTTCTCCCTCGAGCGCAGACTGGACGATGGATAGTGGTCCCTTCCAGTGTGTAGGGGGTATATGAGTAATAGGAGAGGTCACGTTTTGGAAGAGCCTAAGAAAGTGCTTAGAGACCACTGTTTGTGGTTATTGTGTTTGGAAAAAATGCATCTGCAGCCGAGTTCCTGACTGCTCCCCTCCCCCATGTATGGGCTGTGACATTGCTGTGGCCACAAAGGAGGAGGTGGAGGTAGAGATGGTGGTGGAAGAACAGGTGGCCAACACCCTACAACGTAAAGCCTGTGACTTAGTGAAAAGGAAAAAGTTAATCCCAGAAGGTCTGTTTTGCTTTGTCAAGTTAAAACAGAAAACCCGCAGAGCAGAAGCAGGGCTTTTTCCTTGCTAGTTGAGTGTAGACAGCAATAGCTAAAATCGTAAAGTTTAATTTGCCTGTTCTTGTCCTTTCCCCTATCTCTTGTATATTACCTTTATCCTTACAAATTTGACCGCCGTCCCAAGAGTTATTACAGTACTCCTAAATAGCACGCATACATTTTTTTTTTTCCAAACTGACTTGCAAGAGGAGTTAATTGTAGCAATCTTCCAGCCAACTGCCTGAAATACTCTTAGGCATGTACATGCTTTAGCTGAAGTCCTAAGCTAGTATTTTTAAATCTTGACATTTATCAAAACAAGGGTTTAAACAGAAAGGTATTTTCTAGTTTTTATACAATATACATGTTATATTTGTAATGGAAAAAAAAATCATTGAAAAAGAAATTACAAAGGGAAAAATTCTGTTCCTAATCATCATCTCAGAATCAACCGTATGAGTGATGTCACTTAGGTGACTAAGGTCCAAAATGCTGACTCGACCATGAGATAGACTATAGACATCAAATATGGTTGATATCAATATACTGTTTACTTTGAGACTGTAGCCATCCTCAGGCATACTTGATTTTAAGAGACCGTAGATGAGAGGATAATTCAGTTTTATGACAAGAGTGGTTTTCCTTTTCCCTTAACAAAATGTTGGGTTCTAGTCCCACTTTACCCCTCCGTAGCTGTCTTAGCTTTGGGTGAGGGGGCTCTTTCTGGCCTATGATCTTCAGTAAGTCTCCTTGGGAACCCAGTTCTCTCCAGTGGATTTAAATATTACTTGGTTTCTAAAATAATTCAGGGATTTTTTTTTTTTCCAGAAAGAACAGCTGCATAAACAGGTAGACCAGAAGGTGTGTGTTTCTCAGCACTCCCACAGTTAAGCTCTAATCTCTTGTTCACTGTATCTCCTAGGCTAGCAAACTTTTTAGCTGCAAGGACACCTTATACTCTTGAAAATTATTGAAGATCCCTTTATGGGGTATGTCAATATGTACCATAATACAAATTAAAACTGAGAATTTAAAAAATTGATTAATTCATTTAAAAATAGAAATAATAAGCCTATTACTTGGGAACATAATAGCATTTTTATGAAGACTTTTTCAAAACAAACAAAAATTAGAATAGTGGCATTGTTTCACATTTTTGCTAATCTCTTTAACTATATTGCTTAATAGAAGACATCTGCGTGTCTGCTTCTGCACTCTTGTGATCACATCTGGAAAACTACACTTGTTAATGAATAAGAGTGGAAAGGGTAAATAACATTGCAGTAGTAATGGTATTAGTATTATTGTTTTTGGCCTCTTGGACCCCCCCAAAAGTTTTAGGAATGCTGCTGGATACCTGGACCACAGTTTGATAACTGCTGTTCTAGGCTACCCAAATTGTTTTACGGGGTGCGATAGGCAGGGAGCTAGAGTACATTTTGGTGTGATTCTCCTCATTGTTCCCCATTTCCTATTGCCTGTATTTGGAATAAAAAAGTGGGAGCGAACAGGATAAGATACATGCTTGGGAGAGGCTCCCAAGGTGGCCTAGCAAATAAGGCTGGGTGGCACAAAATAGGCCAGGGGGCTGTAATATAATAGTCTTTGATACAACAGTTGTCTAGCCTAACTGTTCTTTGTGAGAAGACTCAGGAATAGTGTAAGGAAGTAATGGTTAGTATGTTATCATTTGGAACTTTCTTTGTGGGGGCTTATTTGGATAATTCTTGGTCTTCAGTTAATAGAATACTGCATGCACTATAGTGTTTATATTTGCACATTCATTAATTTAGAATAACTTATCCTGTAATTGTGCATTTACTGCCATTCTTTCTGCAGTTCAATCCTTATTTTTAATAATGTAGTTATTGGGGGGAAAGAAGATAAAATTAAATAAATTCACTTTATTTCAAAAAGTTTGAAACAGCTGATTGAAAAATATTTTCTGTCTTGAGCTGTCAACCTTATAAGTTGCCAATATTTATTTCAATTGTTGAGAGACTACAAGAGGCAGAGAGTAAAAGTCGCTGAGAAGTACTCACTTACAGCTTTTAAAATTCCTCTCATTAAAAGCAGTGCTTATCTTTAAATTTTATATACTTAAATTTTTCTGGTGCAAAGTGCTTTTTTCAGCACTAATATAGGATTATATATTGTGACAGATGATGAAGTCACCCATACTGAATAGTTCAAAATTCTTAAAATTCTCTTAGTTTTTATACACCATTATTTTCACCAGCAGATATTTTACAGATTGAAATGTTATCAGATCTGCTTTGGTGTCTCAATTTTTATTTCCCCACTACACAATCCAGCTTTATTTGTCAGTCTTCCCTTTGCCCCCCATCTGACTCTTGTTAACTCCCGGAGAACTGCTGTGATGATGCTTTTAAAAAGTTTTCTATAGTTGTTGGCTCTGACAAAGGCACTCAGCGTATCCACTTGTAACTCTTAGGGGCCAGAGTCAACTAGGAATACTGTAGAGGTAGCTGTCAACAAGTTTTGTGTGGGTGTGTCCACAGGGTATAGGCACTTCTACTGAGTGAAGTCATGGCATGTTCCTTTGAGAGCCATTAACTGCTACAGAACAGCAGACTGGCTGTTTAGATAGAACAACCTGAATATAAGATAAAAGAACTTTGTACTCTGAATGCATTTTTCTCAAATGTTGATGGGAGAGTTTGTAAACGAAGTGCAATTCATTACAATACTCAACTGTAGTCAACTGAAGTTTTCATCACTGAATTTGGTGAAGCATTTTGAAATAATTTTTTTATATAAGGGTGAATTTGTGTTAAAAGGTATTGATAGAGTGGATGATATTAACCTCATGTTCTAATTTATATTAACCACATGTTCTAATTTAGTCACATTTTCATTATTTTTATTATAAGGCCTGCTGAAAATGACTGAATATAAACTTGTGGTAGTTGGAGCTGGTGGCGTAGGCAAGAGTGCCTTGACGATACAGCTAATTCAGAATCACTTTGTGGATGAATATGATCCTACAATAGAGGTAAATTTTATTTTAATATGCATATTGATTTGTGCAGGCCCATTCTTTGGGTACAAAAAGAAGGTTTCTCTGATCATTTTTTGTGACTACTCATTACAAGGCAGTTATACTCAAAATGATTTTACCAAGTTTTCTGAAATGTACTTGGGTTCCATGGCTTCATTCTGAAGTTATATATACAACCAGAGATTTGGAGAGCCCTTCTCTCTAGAGAATATTAAGATGTATAATGTTCGTTCTGTGTTAGTATATGTGTTTTTTAATTTTAAGTGTATTTCAGAGTTCGGTGAGAGGGTAAAAATGTGAATTTACATCTTCCAAGTTCAAACAGTCATTAAAAAAATGGCTATTTTTATGGGTTTTTTTGCTATTTTATTTTATTTTTAAATGATTTTATTTATTCATTCGAGACACAGAGATAGGGAGTATGAGCAGGGGGAGAGGGAGAGGGAGAAGCAGGCTCCCTGCTGAGCCAGGAGCCGGAAGTGGGAAGTGGGGCTCGATCCCAGGACCCTGGGATCATGACCTGAGCTGAAGGCAGACGCTTAATCATCTCAGCCACCCAGGCGCCCCTTTTTTGCCGTTTTAATGTCACATGCAGGTTATAGTTGAATTGTATTGGTAAAATGTAATCATTTGGTGGTTGCCCCAATACTTAGGGGCACCTGGGTGGCTCAGTCGTTAAGCAGCTGCCTTCGGCTCAGGTCATGATCCCAGGGTCCTGGGATCGAGTCCTGCATCGGGCTCCCTGCTCCACGGGAAGCCTGCTTCTCCCTCTCCCACTCCCCCTGCTTGTGTTCCCTCTCTAGCTGGCTCTCTCTCTGTCAAATAAATAAATAAAATCTTAAAAAAAAAATAAAAAAACCACTTAATTAGTAACATTTTCTGTTTTCACATTGAAGTAGGCGAGAACCTATAGCTAGCTACTGATACATTTTAAAATCTCATTCTTTGTGTATTTTATATCTGTTATCTATATCAGGTGCTACATAAGGGTACCACTATCAATCCCTACCTTTGCTTTGCAGCCCTCTTTTAATTTACTCAAAGAAATGTTAGAATTGCTTTTATTACAAATTGATTACTAAATAATTTTTTAAACTTTTTTAATTTCATGAAAAATTCCCAAAGTAAAGGCCAACAGCAAAATAATAGAATAAAGGCTTGCAAGAGACCTTGAGAGGACACATAATATTTCCTACTGCCTTCTGGCAGCTCTGTACTCAAATTATCTCAAGCAGATAAGGATTTATTTAATCCTAAAGACCTGCAGGAGAGGATGGCACATCACTGTCCTTGTTAACTCACTTCCAGATTGTAATTATGAACGTATTTTACACATAATCTGAATATATATGTTAACTGCAACATCAGTGGAGATGGAAATAAATATCACCTGTCTTTGAAATAGACTTATGTTGTTAGTTTATTTCTTAGACTTGTTATCCCAGGTTAAGCAGTCCTAATCCCTTAGCTTTTATTCTGGGTCTGCAGATCATATCATTTTTTTAATCAGCTCTGAAAAATTTCCCAGAACTTTCTCTGAGTCTCTCGCTGTGGAATCTGGAACAGGTTAAGATGCCCTGTTAAGGGACTGTGCTGTATGATGTCTTCAAGAACACTTTGACTGCATTGAGGTAGATTCTGAGGGCATTGGTGGCCTTGGCAAGATGTTTATGCAGTTAGAACTTTGATGATTGATTAGACAGCTTCATAAGGAAATGTCAAATATTTTTGGTACTGCAGGAAAAAAAGAGAGAAATGACACTTATTTGCAAAGATATGATTTAAATCTAGCCAGCTTTTATTTGGCATGAGGAAAGGGGAAGAGTCTAACTGAAGTGGACCACCTGTATAATAGTCTTATGTATTTTCTCTTGACAAGTCAGTTCGGTGCTGTATGATGGTTTTGTTTTTTTCTTTTTTTCTTTGAGGAGGATTAAATAGTTCACCCAGTTCGAAAACCAGGGTTACTTGGCATACTCCATTTAAATCAGAAGTAGAAGGAAGTTTTAATAGAATTCAGGTTAAACACGGAAGTTTTCCTGGGATTTTGGAAGGTGATTTTAGCAGAAGTGCTCTCCATCTTCTTTGAAAGTCCAAGGGATTCCATTACACTCTGTTTCCTGTGTGCTATACGGGATAATGTGATAAAGCATGTTGGGAAGCCTTTCTGTCAGAATTGTTAAAAGTATAATATAGATCTAAAATAAAGCCAAAAGTTAATCCTTTGAGTGAAGGTAGAAGAAGTTTATAAATTCAAACCCCTAACTCTGATTATGATTTCTGCCAGACCAGAAGACTTGACTCTGGGAAAGCATTGATAACCTGTGAAATTTGAAACTTTGACATTCCCTCACTAGTTTAGCCATCGGGGAAAAACTATCAGAGATTGTCTCTTGTCTTCCAAATTACAGTGAGTCTTAGGGAACTGACACATTAAATTCTTGGTGTAGTTCAATTACAAGAAAGACAAGATAATTTAGTAGCTTATTTTAATAAACGGTGGTTAAGCAAAAATGCTGACTTGATTTTTTATAATAAAAAGTTTAAAAAGGAGATTTGGGGATATCACTACTGCTATTAGGTTTTGATTGGTGAATAATGTAGGTCAAAGAGAAAATGAGGGAGCACATAGACTGCACATTTGGAATTCTCATCAGTTTTCCTGAACTAAAACAAATGGAAAGAAATTTTTTTAAAAATTAAAGAATACCATTTTCTAGTGGTTTAGAATTTACAAAGATTTATACTAGGAGGTAGATAAAGAAGGTGGTCATTGTTTCTTTCATTTTATAGATAAAAATGGTCTCTGAGAGGTTATAACTTGCCTGAGAATACTTAGCTAGTAAAGAGTGGACTTTTAAGTTTTCTGAGACCAAGTTAAGTGGGATTTCCACTGTACCCTTGTATACACAACTTTAAAAATGAGAAATTAGTCTTTAAGCTAGGAAGATATTTAATATTGGAGGCTGATCAGATTTATCGATATACCAAAATTTGAACTTAGCTTCCTCTCCAATGGCATCTTAATGGCAGAGATATGATATAAAATTAAACGGGCATGATGCATAGATAGATCATGCTTATATTTGAGGCTGTGTACATGATAATCAGCTTCTGTTTTGAAACGTTTTACCTTTATCTTTTGTGAATTTCACCAAAGAGTTCCAGAAGAGTTCTGTTAATGTGACACTTATAATTCAGTCTAAGTATTACGCCCTTCTTCGATGAAAGTTTCCTACTCAGTAAGGATGATGGATTCTTGATTGGATTGATTTGTTCCATCTTTATTGCTCTGAGCTGTGGAGTATTTATTCAAGATTTATCAGTTTCTCTTTTTACTTTTTCATGTTAGCTATGGAATTTATTTTACTTGTTGAATAAGGTGTAGTAGCTAGATCATTTGTACTATTAAACCAGTATTGAAGAATGGTGTGAGAAAAGAAAGCATTGTATAATGTTGAAAGCTGTTATTTTTCTGGTTTTATACTTAATGTAGCAGTAGTTATCAATGAGGGGTGGGTGACTTTGTTTCCCGGGGACATTTGGCAATATCTAGAGATATTTTTGGTTGTTACGTCTTGAGAAGGGGCACTGCTACTGGCACCTGTGGAGGCAGGGACGCTGTTAAACTTCCTACGGTGCACAAGATAGCGCCCGCAACAATGAGCTGGCCTCAAGTGTCCGTGGTGCTGAGGTTGAGACCCTCCTATGTGTTATATAAAGCTTTCAACATCTCTGTCAACTTGAAGTCTCTGAATAAGGTTTACGGTGGATACTCTAACATAGCACAGATTTAAACTTTACCTTTTCTAAACTAATAGTATATTATTTTAGCTGATTCTAGCATTCTATTAAAACATTGTTTTTAAAATAAAGTACACAGTAATTTTGTAAATGCATTTCTCAAGGCTTTGGCCAGCTCTTCCCCCCCTTTCAAGTGAGTGCCCTCTACTGGTCAATTTATTTGCTTTTATAATAAGTAACAATGAAATACCAGGTTTGGGTATTTTTCCTATTTAAACTGTGGGTATGATCAGTTTATAAATAAGTTTTATTTAGAAGTCTGATTTTATATAATTTTTAAAAATCTAAAGTGTCAGTTTTATTCTCTGCTAATATTAAGATTACTGTGTGAACTAGTTAGGCCTAACTAATTAAATACATAGGTGAATGTTTTTAACTAAGAAAGGAAATGTGGCCGTGAAGGAGAAAATGGGGTGGTTCTGTTGTTAACCCTTACTGAGGTTACTTTGTCTGAGGGAATGGGAATAAAAAGTGGCACTTTGACCCTGAATTTCTTTCCAGGCACATGGGAGCTATGCTACAGACTTCAAAGCTTAGTGATGTATTACATGGGGTGTTAGGAAAGGGCCTATTGGAAAGTGGTAATTGTGACAGTTCACATTGTATAGATTTTTTTTTATAGTACTGTAGAATAGTCGTGAGCACCTGATTTTTAGAATAAAGTAACACAAAATGCAGCCCTTGTATTTAGGTCAATTTAAGAATAAGTATTTATTTAATAATAATAACTGCTTATTGAGACCTGAATGTTAAAAATTATCAGACATGTTTTATTCTTACTTGGATTTTTATAAATACAAAGCTTTACAAACATAGAAATGAAAGTTGGTAACAGAAATAAGTGAAAGGAAAAAAATATTTTTATGATTTGGCATCTCTTAAGATTCTGGTTTTAACAAGATTCTGGTTTTAACAACACGACTAATTCCTTAATTCCATAATGATTATTCAGTGCCCACTCTACCATACAGGCTTCCTAGGGGCTGGAGATACTTTGAGAAGCAAAAGGGACCAGATCCCACTGCCTTCATGAAGCTTACTGGCCTTAAATGTATTTTGAAGAGCATGCTTCTGGACAATGATCCTAATTCTATTTAATGTAATTTAGAGGCTTTGTGCTTTAGGAGAGCATTAGATTTCTTGCATCTCCTTTAACTATATTGTCACAGGGTGCCTAGGTTTATAGGCAA